CCGAGGTTTGAGGAGGGTCAGGGCGGCTGTTCTCACGCTGGAGGAAAGGGAAGGAGCCGGGGGGCTCACCTCGCTGAGCTGACCGGGAGCCGGGGGCCGTTCGCCGCTGCTTTGCCTGCCATGGAGGTGACGAGCAGCATTCACCCGTCCCAACAGGCCCGCTGCCACCCCGCTCCGCCCGAGGCTTTCCCGGAGAACAGCAAATCGCACCCGGGTGAGGGGTGACTGCGAGAGTTGTCCGGAGCCCAGTCAGCGCGCTGCGCAGCTCGGATCGTGCCTCTCCCAGACACCGCCTGCCAGGAGCGGGCGCAGGAAAGGCCAGGCAAGCAGTACTTGCTCTCCCAAACATTTCCCAGCCTCCCGAGATTTGTGGCTCAGGGATTTCCTGCATGCCAGCATCCTGGCGGGAATTTTTCTTCTAAGTATTTATCCAGTTCCTCTGAAAATAATCTTTTGTTTATATGGTATTTATTTATGGGCTTTGAGCAAAAGAGAAGTGGCTTCTTGTTAGTGTTTCCTTCGGCTGGGGCCGTTTTCACTGATTAGGACAGGCGGCCCCGTCCAAACGCCAAAGTGCTGCTCCACAGCCTGCAGCCTAGAGCCCAGCAGGGAATCTGCAAGATATCAGGAAGAGGTCTACAGACGTTCACGGGCACGCAAGCATGGCAACAAGCAGAGAAAGTGACAGTAACAAACGGCTGGTAAAAGTTCAGCCTGGTTTTTTTTGGTTGTGAATGCAAACCGCTAAGTTCATGCTACACAAAATGGGGTTCAGTGGATTTTCTTTTTTAAAAGGGGTAGGTGGTTCTTCTGTATGAACGAGCTCAAACACCGCTAGAAAGGGTCAGGCTCAAAGCTCGGGGCACTTTACCTTTCCAGCCTGACTTTGAGAATCTGTACTGGAGTTTGTATGGGTGTCACCAGTGCAAGTCTTGCTTTGAAACATTTTTTCCACACAAAGAATTGCATTGTTATGCTTGCTTTTACTGCAATGTAATTTCCTCTGTAGGCAAACTGTCAGCCTGATTTGTGGTGTTAGAATTGCCAAACCGCGCTGACCCCTTTCATAAATCTGTTGCTCTCAGCAGACCCGCCTCACGCTGCACCTTTGTTGCCCAGGTGTGACTCGGGGATCACAATACCCCCCTTCCCCTCTCCCGGGGCAGCGGAGGAGCAGGGAGTCAGGGCTCACGCAGGGCCCTCGGTAACACAAACAGTGCCGAGGATGCGAAGCTTTGTTACAAAGCAGAGAATGTGCCGGCGGCAGCCGTGAGGACCAAGCTTTCTGTGGGACCATCCCTGCCAGTAAATCCGGTATTTCAAGAGCCCCAGTATTTGGCTGCTGAGATTTACCAGAGGCTGCAGCAGGAGCAGGGGCAGATAAGGAGGGAAAGACTTTTATGATCCCGTGCAGGCTGTGTACATCCCTTTCTAACAATGTTCCCATCTCAGTGGACTGCTGACTTTTGGGGTCCTGCCGGACGACAAGCGCTGCACAGACATGTGAGACCAATGGTTTGTTTTTCCTCTCTGTTACCAGAGCAGAAATTGTGAGTTAAGGCACCAAAATCCTTAGAAATAAACTTTGTTTATCTCCAAACACTGACGCTGAGATGCCAGACTGGCTGCTGGTGCTTACAATGCAGAGCTTGCCAGGAAAAACTCATATCATACACGCGACCATGGGCTCCCATAGCTCGCTGCACTGCAGACAGGAGCGTAGGTGAGGAAGGGGATCTAGTCAAAGGGTCTGATTTGCAGTCTTCATCATGAATGTCAGGATATTTGGTATTTTTCTTAAAGCCTCTGTTTCTGGAGTCTTGTGATTAGATAGGAATCTCACTTACCTTTAGGATGCCCCCAGCAATTTCTGACCTCCAGAGGCAAAACACAAAAAAAAAGCGAAGAAGAGAAGAGCCACCCAAGAAACCCCAGCTCTGACAGGTTGGAGTATCTCATGATGTGAAACTCAATGCCAAGCATTCAGGTGCCTGGCTTGTGACTGCAGGGCACCACAGAGAATCGTCTTCTGCTCTCTGGGCTGTTTTGCATTCCCTCTGAAAGCCAGAGGGAAGCAGGTCAAATGCTCGGTACAGGAAGCAGTAAGACATCTCTTCAGTGTCACAGGACCAAATGCTTCCCCTCAAATTGTGCTGGCAGTACCCTGAGCACTAAATCATCCAGACTGTGTGGCTTTGGGCTCCATTTCTGACACGTGCTTGAGATGCCTTCCTACAAGATTTCCACACTGCTAAGCATCTCATAAAGGGTGAGAAAAAGTTGGACATATACAGGGAACATTATTGCTTATAGCCTGTACTGGCGTCAGAACTGTTCTTGCTCAAGCCTGGGTTCGTTGCTGGGAGAGACTTTATATTATCTGGCCTTTGGTATTGGACAGCTTGAGAGTTTTGAAGCAAAACCCCATTCAGTGCTAGGTTATCCTGTCTGTATTGATGATCCACTTCTGTCATGCCGCTGCACATAATCAGTGTGTCTGTCGTGACCCCGTTTGCATTTGGGCAACAGGCTACAGGCAACGACTGCTATGGCTCAGCTGTGCCTGCGTGTCTTATGCAAGTGACCGCCCCATTGCCACCAGTGGGGCTGCTCCAATGGGAAAGGGATGCAAGATCATGCACCCCTCGTCTAACAGAGCATCGTATTGTCATTTCTTTCCACTGAATAAATCAGAGGGCCTATCGTCCTCTCTGGGGGCTCTAAAAATGTTTTGAATAGCTTAATAACCTCCCATGGCTCCTCTCTCCTGGGTGATAATTAACATAGCAGTTTCTTAAGCTGAATTAAGAGTGTTCGTGCAGGGCAGAGGGGAAGTTTTGGTGCCCAGAGCTGAGTTTCTTCTCAGCCCTCCTCAGTAATTTTGTGTTAGAGACCAGCACAGAGCTCTCTGGGCAGCAGCTCTGATGGTTCCTCCATTCTTTAGAAAGCTTCCTTAAATAAACCTGTTTTTTCAGCCTTCCAGATGCCTGGGAAAATAGATGTGGGAAGAGGCAACAAGGAAGGAGGGGGTGACAGAGGAGAAGCAGCGTTTAGGACCGACTGGGAGCTTAACCGAGCAGTCTTCTCTCAGTAAATTCAGTGGAAATGTAACAGTGGTGTGACTTACACATCCTGAGTCTGGGGAAGATCATAGTCTGAAGTCATTGGCAGAGAGCTGAGTACAGCCACAGTACTTGCCATAGCTAGTATCTGGGTGCTTGCCAGGCTCTGAGGTTATTCACTCTGACATTATCCCCATATAGGAAGGACTGTGCCATTATCCCTGTTTTACAGTCCCCATGTGGCAACTGAGACACAAATGACTATTTGATGAAATTAGAGAGTGGGAAATTAAAAAAGGGTAAAAGGAAATTTGTTCTCATGGCAGGTTAATTAAACCAGAGAGTCAACAGCCAAAGGCAGATGTTGTGGCAAAGTAATGCTGAGCAAAATTATTTAGAGTTCTCCTAACTGCAAATGTTAAAAGAGACGTAAAACATTGAGCTTTGGAGATTAAGCCCATACCTAGTTAATGATGGTCATGAGGAGACAGCATGGGGAAGAGATGATCCTCAGTCTCACCGTGGAGCGTTGCTTTGAAATGCTCAGTCCAGTGAGCTGGAGATGGATGAGCACTCACCAAGTGGGCAGCTGTGGTCCATTCTTGATTTCTGCTACCTGCCGACAGGAATAAAAAATCACATCCAAGCAAAAAGCAGATCGCAGGTCTCGCATATCCTGGGCCAGTACCACAGCCATTTGGTCAGCCTTGGGCACTGTTCATGAAAAATTATGGCAAACTCTTTCTTGGGCTACCTTGTTGCTTTTTTTGTGTGGGTGCTGCCCAGAAGCTTGTTGCCCCACCTGAGTTCCTGGGCAACATCTTCCCCCCATGTGGTGCGGTGTGGCCGTTCGGCATCCTGCCTGCGTGAATGCCACTCATAAAACCTTTGTTGCCGAAGGAATGAAGCACCAGCCGCAACACTGGGAATGTTCAAGAGCAGGAACCAGGAGAAAGAGAGTTGTAAAGCTCATGCTGTAAGACCTGTATGCGACAGTCCCAACCTGTAGCATTAGGGAGGAGCTTAGTTAAGGCTGGCAGTTTACCCATCCGAAGCTCTAATTTCAAATACATCTTGTTTCCACATAAGCTTGAAACCAAGCTGTGACTCCTGATGAGAGCACCACGCTACTCTGTCCCCGTGACGACACCTCTGGGGTGGGAGATACCTGCCTGACCTGTGCCAGCAGTCTGGGTGTCCTCTGGCTCAGGACAGCTGCCAAAATACACACTGGGCAGCACGAGGTACCAACTGGAGAGTCTGGATATGGCTCCCAGTTAGGGTTCTTGAAAATGAATAAAAAAAAAAGAAAAAAAGAAGAGCCAGAGGGCTAAAAGAGACAGAGTAGCCAATGACACTCTCAGCAGCATTGCGCTGAGGGGCTACAGATGAAAATGGCATTTCCACTGCCTTGTGCGTGCTTGGTGGCAGATCCAGACTGCCCAGCTCTATGGGGCCCTCCCACAGATACCACCCGCCTCTGAAACAAATCCATCTTTGAAATGGCCATTTCTGACAGCATCCTGCATTCTGTTAAAAAGCAGTGAAACTGCACATGGGATTGAAACGTGTCAAGTTACTGACCCAGCTAGTCCCTATAATTTATGCAAAATCTAAATCCCATCTGACTCAGTTGAGACCTTGCTTTCCCAGCCCAGCTGACAACAGACTTACCCACACTGGCTCTTTTTGTCAGGAAATGGCCAGCCATGCATTTGTTCAGATGCTCATCTGTGCTGCCCAGGTGAGCAGCAGATGTGTTTTCAGGTCTTTTGAGCACCCATTATGTGACTAATTCCAGTAATTCATTAAGTGCAACAAATGAGTGGTGACAGTGGAGGCTGCGCTACCCCATAATTCATCTCCTTTGCCTCTTGAAGAGGTTTCCTGTTACACTGGGCAGATCTGTCCTCATTGCTCTCCTTACAGGCTCGCTGTCATTCTCAGCTGCCTTCAGACACAAACGTGCCCGCTCCCAGAAACTTTGGATGCTTTTTCCTCAGTTGCCAAAAATCTCCAAGACGCTTCCTGTCTGTAGGACCTTGGGTTTAAGAGCTCAGCATTGCTTACACTCGTTTAGAAGTGCTAAGTATTTCTGCCTGGGTCATAACTTGATAAAAAGCCAGTCTAGCTCCTCTGTAATCAGCTGGTT